TCTTTGTCGTACCAAGGTTCAAGCATTCTCCTTAATTTGTGATTGAGTTTCGTTTTTGGATCAAGTCTTGAAACGTCACACTTGCTTGAAAATCATCCTCGATTTCCATTATAGTCTTAATTTGAAAATGGTGTCTCTCCGAAAACAATTGTTGTTTCGCAAGACAAATTTTTTCACTTCTGCTTTTTCACCAAAAAACAGTATATTCGAACAACATCATGCACAAAATTCCCTCCTGGCAAGCTTGTCTGCAAAAAATCTTCTTCTGGAAGAAACAATTTTTCACCCTTTCTGCTTTTTAACGAAAACACAGTCAATTTGAGCATCAAGATGAACAGTCTTTTCTTCTGGCACATAATGAAAATAGGAGCCAAACTCCATCAGCTCAATAGCCAGTCTTTTTATTATGGTTGATGCTGTTTTCGGCAATTCTCCGTCCTGAAAAAGGAAGCACTACAAGGGTTTGTGCTCACTTTCCAATTGATTTTAAGCTGGGGTGAAAGATGCTCCAACCGTGTCACAGCAACTCAAACCTACCATAGCTTCTCGTTCTATGTTTGTGAATGTCCACTCGGTTGCTGATAGCTTCCCTGGAATATAGATCAAAGGATGATCTTCTTTGATTTGAGAGAACTCCAACAACTACCTGTTTGGAAGCATCGGTGGTCACTTTCACCAGTTTAACCAAACACTAAGGATGCACAACTGGTTTCGAGCACAGGTCTTGTCTGGTTTACGGAAAGTTTTTTCCCGTTTTTCAGACTACGCGAAGGCTGTCATCGGAAGTTATTGAGCGGAAACATATTAATAATAGAACTCATCGATCTGGCTTCATTGATATGATAATAAAACTGTTTTTTTTTTCATAACCATCAGCTCACTGCCACAATGAGTTTCTTATTGGTCATGGCAATTTTTGACTGTCGGTAATGTTCCCCATTGCTCAAGTATTGCCTACCTATATTTAGTTTTTGTCTATGAACGCTTAACATCAAATGCGCGTCTTAAAATTATTGTGAGAATAAACCATTTTGTGATACGAAGCAATCAATAAATTAGTGGCTAAAAATAGGACTCCTCTTTCCTATCCCGGGTTGAGGTCCCAGACCTGAACGACCTGAACCGCACCCGGATCGAGACCCAAATTTCATAGTCGCGCCGAGTGTTTGAGCCCGGAAAGCCTGGACATCAAGTCGCAAAAGCCGTACCGTGGGTCGCGAAAGTCGCGCCGTGGGTCGGAAAAGTTGCACCATGGGTGGCGAAAGTTGTGCCGTGGGTCGAGAAAGTCGCGCCGTGGGTCGCGAAAGTTGCACCGCGGTTGGCAAAAGTGGCGAAACTATGGAAATAAGACGCGGACCTCGACCCGATTATCAAAACAAATTACTGAAGGTGGATCAATCAGATTCGAGATTCCATTCGGGACCCCGAATGACCGAAAGACCGAAGGCTCAATTTCTGCGACAGCCCACGAAAACTGTGATAGCCCCCGAAAACTGGGAAAGCCAATCAAAAAATCAGCATTCACACATTCGAAAGAATTAACGTGAAAATCCTCAAGCTGTTGACAGATTGTAGAGCGCTGATTCTGTGATTGGTTGAAAATTATACCTATTAGATATTCTTCTGTTATGAGAGCAGTCCCTCCCCCTATAATTACTGTTCTACTCACTATGGCTGGTACTTTGTGTTCTGTGGGGGAGGTGTGGTAGAGACGCAGTACTAGCATGGTGGTCACGAGAGTCATGGCCGACATGCTGATCCACACCACCAGAAAACCCTCTGCAACAAAGTCAAAATAAATCCTTCCATTGTAAACAGAAAGTAAATAAAGACAAATAACTTTTCATTTAAATAATAAACAAAATAAAGAATCCATTGTTTACCGTAAACAAGCAGAGCTAGGATTTTCTCGAGGGGTGTATTTTCCTAATTCGGCCGAATAAATTTTTCGAGCTGTCCCCAATTTAAAAAAAAAAAAACAGGCATAAAAAGCCGCTTAAAGCAATTTTTGGAAAATTTTTCAGAAAGTGTTTGCTCCCCCCTGGAAAATAGGATTTTCTATAATTAGGATTTTTGTTCATATTGTCCAATTGTCATGAAATTTGACATGCAGACTAATTAGGCCATGACAAAATTTTTTGATTGTCATAATCAGCCATGTGACGAAAAATGGCCGGAAAATGAGTCGAAAATGGTATGTTGGCGTCAACCGCGCCCTAAGAAAAATTTTAGGGTTGCTCGGCCTAGAATGGATACCCCAAAATAGAGGCAAAGGGAACGCTCCTCCCCTAGAACCACATGTGCCAGTAAACTTTTTCGACTCCTCTTATGATTGATGCCCTAATATTTGCTTACATGACCGATGACTACTTTTTTTATTTATTTATTTTTAGAAAAGTGCAGAGAAAAGAAATTCTTTTAGACATTTATTTGTAAGTAGGTTTTCAACAAAAAATGCAATTTCACGGCTTTTATAATATAAAAGTTAATATATATTGGCGCTGAAAAACAGCCGGCCTAACATCAATTTCAGAAACAATGATTAGAGTGGATCCCCTTTTTAACCCCTTTAAATTAGGACCCCGATGTTTGGATCTATATGCGTGGTTGAGCGTGCGTTTTGCTTTGATTCTGACTTCTTACGTATGATTGGCAGTTCCTCTCCCGTGTGGGGGAGCATGGAGGAGATTGCGAGCAGGTTGACACAGAGAGCAAGGAACAGGGTGATTCCATAGCCCATCTTCTCCCCACTCTCACACGGCATCAGGAAGTTGATCAGAGTCAAACAACTAAAGTGACCATAAAAATGTTTCAGACGGATAAAGGGCAAAAAATTTTCATGATTGAAAAATTTCCTTATTTTGTTGTCAAATATTTTTGGCTCCCTTCTAACTTTTTTTATCTATTAAGAGATAGGTAGGATAGAAGTATCAAGATAGAATCACTGGTGCAGTGAATTTTACACTTAATTGTAATTTATGCCAACATCTAAACTCAATGAGTTGAACTGTGAGTTGTTTTGCACTTTTTATGGAATCAATCCAAACTGAGTTTGGGCAATATAATTAACCCAAACTTTGGATAAATAGTCAATTTTTTTTCTTTCATTATGTTCCTACAGTTGCGTGTGTTGCGAGACTAAAATCAAAGAAAAACTAGTTAATTAAGAATAAACTATGACTTCTTCAGCTCAATTTTTGGCTTGTTTGTTTTTTGTTCAGAACTTTTGTTCAGAACTTTTTCTGGCGTGTTTGTTTTTTGTTTCAGAACTCAAAAAACATTTCAGGAACTTGTACAAACTCTTGCAAGTTTACGCTCTCATTTATCTTTCAGCGTGATTTCAGCGTGACATTTATGTGGCTTTTGATTTTTTTCGAAAACATGCAAAATTTTTATGCTAAATAGAAGGCTCTTTTTATTTGAGCAGGTGCCGCTAAAAAAACAATTAACAGTTTCTATATTCAGTATGCATTGAACATTTTCCAGCTGTATAAAAAAGTTAGTTTCAGTTTTATTAGTTTTGTGTTTATCTTTAACAAAAAAAACTGTTAGTTAGACATTCTCCTGATGATCAACAAATTAAAAATGATGTGAATTTATCTATCAAAAAAAGGAAAAATGAAAAAATATATTAAGTGGTTCATTTAATGTCATTATTTTTTCAATCATTTAAAAAGAGAATTGATATGATTAAGTGTTATCGTATAAACATTCTGTAGATCACTCCAGATTTCCACCAAATTTGCTTTGGAAAAAAATGGATTTTGAACAGTTTTCCCGGTTTTTGATTTTTATTTTGGATTTGCTGAAGCTATAAATGTTTGATGATAAATGATTGGTAAATACGTCGTAATCAACGGTTAGTTAAAAACAACAACACTAATACTGCATAATTTGTTTCAAAACATTACAAGTCTTCATAATCTACTTTTTGTCAAAAAACTTTTAGTTGAAAGCTGGAGAAACATTCTTGCTAAATTTTACTAAACCTTGCTATTACACTACGTTGATAAGACCACTCAACAGGCAGAAGGCACGCTGCAGCCACTGACTCAAAACAAAATGCAGCCTTCTGATTCTTATCAACTTTAAAGTAAAGCCTTATTTTGAACCGTTTTTCTGGCTTCGATCAAAGATACAAAAAATCCAGCAATGAAAAAATTGCTGTTTTGAGTAGTGTATAAGTATCTTGTGAGTAAATTGATGAGTGGCAACGTTTTTTAATCATTGTGTTTGTTAAATATTTTTTATGCCCTAGGCTATGTTTTCTCTCGATGTTTCAAAGTTATGAAAAAATTTCTGTAAAAAGATTTTTAAAACGTTTTCAATTGTTTCGACTTCCTTTATGTCAGTGCACGGGTTTTTTGTTCAGATTTTTCTTAATAAATTGACTTAATAGTTGTGCTCGGGTGGTTTGTTCTCCAGACAAATTTTGACTATTTAGTTAGCATTTTTTGACAGAAATTCATTATACCATTCTAAAAGTTTTATGATTCACCTGTGGTTTTTTCATAAAGTTATGGGGTTTCAAAATTGCCAATTTGAGACAAGTAATGAGCGATATATTTCGTGCTATTAACGCGTAGAGCAGAGTTATAAATCGTCAAAGAAATAGTTACAAACTGAATTGAGGAATGCTATTTGGTGTATTTATTAACTAATTATATGCAAGAAATATCACTCTGTACTTTACGTAGCTTGTGGGGGCATCGTTTTCAAAATAGGTTTCAGTTTTTTTTTAAAAGTTTTTCTTTTTAAAAGTGAACACTAGTCCATAGACCTTTCTAATGCAGCCGGATTCTTGTTCCACTTTCCCACACACTATATTTTTTCCTTTTCAGTTTTTTAAAATCTTTTATCATGGATGAATGCGTGACCTCAAGGTATGTGACCTCAAGGATGTAAGGTTTGAAGAGTTATGTTCAAAAAAGTTTGTTCGCCATGACTCATGACAACGTAAAACTAGTTTTTCCGAAATGAAATCGAATTTTAGGGAGAGAGGCAGTGTAAGCGGAAAATAGCCGGTAGTCGGAACCATTCAGGACTTCGCGTAGTCTTTTTTGACTTGAAATCAATAAGTACGAGCAGTCTTGGTTGACAAAATTGGGTTAATCAACAATCAACCCAATTTTGTCAAAATCATCTTCATTACTTGCTATTTACAATTGACTATATCAAAAATTTACATTTTTGCAAACTTATAAGTTAACAAGTACTTTTATCATCTGATTGACAGCATATGCGTTAGGCGGGAACTAATTGAATCATTTGGTTTGTCAAATTTTAATCTGGGATGAGTTGTTACGAGCAAAGTTACGAATGATTTTGAGCGTGACTTTGCGATGTATGCATGCGAAGTGCGCAGCAAATAGCAATCTGGTAACTTATTTCCAGCTAAAATTACAAGAAAACTAAAGGATGGTTTTTCATAATTCCAACTCCAGTATATTCAGTGTGATACAAAAAAAATCCATAAGAACTTGTAATCTTGATGACGAAAATTGATCAAAAGAAAAAAAACACCGTTGATAGATATTTTGGTAAATTTTAAGAACATTGGAACAGCTTTTCATGAAACTGTTTTCAACAAACGACAAAAATCAATAATTCAACAGAGATGTTAAAACCAGGGTCGTATCTAGGATTTTCTCAAAGGGGGGGGGGGGTTTTTCAAAAAAATTCCAAATTTTGTCGACCTTTTTTCTTACGCGCGCTCCCCTCTTAAATTTAGTATATATTGGCGCCAAAGGCGCCATTAGAAAAATTTTAGGGTCCGTCAGCCAAAAATGAATATCTCAATATAGTTCAAAGGGGGACCCATTGGGTCGGCAGGGGATCAAGTCCCTGAAAGAAGGCGTCCGCCCACACCCCCGATCCCCCACTAAATCCGTCCCTGCTGGTTAAAACGGTTAAAATTGAAAATGCTCGATTGTGATATTTTGTACTATTTATCATTTTTTTAATGCTAGGGGTTTGTCGATGGTTTTGTTTGCTCTTTTACATCTATCAGCGATGGCTTATTGATCTTTCGCTCCATTTGATTGCTCCACCACTCATGTTAAAATAGACAATATTGATCATAAACTGTAAGTCATCACCTGGTAAATGAGGTGGGCAGTACAGTGTTGAGTAGCATGAACGAGGGCCGTCGGCTCAGTTGGAGACTGAACACCAGTTCGGTGTACTTGCCCATCGGCTCTTCTGCCGAATTATGTCTCACTGTGTACTTCTGTAGATCCCACTCCATGTTATTCATGTAGTTGCTACAACACAAAAAACATAAGACAAAAGTTTTTATAAAGTTTTGTTACTCCCACTTTTGTTCAAATTTTGATAAAGGGATTGATTATTTGCGCTCGTCGTTGTAATTTTTGTTACACTTTGCCCTTCTTGTTTGTTATACCATCTGAAAGCTAGTGATATCCTGCGCTCAAATTTAGACAAAAAATCAAAATTATCAAACCAGTTTTTCGAGAACTCTTTGAAAATTTCGCCATGTCGTTCAAAGCACGACTGGAAGGGATTTAAAATGAAATATCACTCATTACATTCTGATCATTATTTGTGGTGCCTGATTTTGCGTGAAAAAAAAAGAAGAAAAATTAAAACAACTCGAGACAAAAGTTTTTTTTTCAATTTGAGCACAGCCGATGAGAATGTAATGCGTGGATGGACATTCGGATGTTAGCTTTTAAAAGAAAACGAAAAACATTTACGAGAAAACAAATCTCATACAAAACTGCTCATGTCAGGGCAAGCCATGATTGCTCTGACTCTCTTCACCGTCAATGAAAGCGGTTTTTATGAAAAAAAATTAGAGAAAAAAGGCACAAGAAATGATGAAATTTTTTTTTCAAAAAGTGAAAATTGCATCAACCGATTTACGACTTTGAGCTTGAGATGTTTTTTCTTCCGGACAAATTTTGTTTTATTTTTGGCCATTTTGGCGAAAATTTTTATACCACTCGCGCGTGATATATCAACGCGCGATAAAACTTATCCCATTGAAGCTTAATTAAATTTTATTTGAATGAATTGATGCTAACTATGTGCTATCAATGATATGCTAAAATACGTAAAATATATCATTTTGAACCTTTCACAGCGTGTGGGGAATATTAGCAAACAAATTAAAAACAATTTTGGAAAAAAAATTTTAAATTGTTTTGGCACAATGCTTTTTAACATAAAACCCTGCGGGTCAATCAAAAATGCACACCAGGCAGTTTTAACATCAAAAAAGGCTTGTCAATTCCAAAAAGGCTTGCTGAGAAGCAAAATTTGACTTGTATCTTGAAAAGAGACAAAAATCAAGTTTTCATGCAACTCCTTCAATTATGAGTTTTAAAAATTCGCCGTATTTATGTAATTAAGTAATTTAGTAATTTTATATAATTGTTCCTACTTTCGCAACGAAAGTAACGGAATATTTGTGCTCGGGTTGGGCTTTTTTTTCAGACAAATTTCGACTTTTTAACTAGCCATTTTTGACACAATTTTTCAGAAAAGATTTTTCACCTGTGATCATTTTTCGTAAAGTTACGGGGGTTTAAAGGTTGCCATTTAGGCCAATTTGGGTCAATTAACGCGCGATATATTTCGCGCTATTAACGCATAAGCGAGATTTAATCCGTATTAAAAATCGTTCCAAATTGATTCAAGGAAGCTTATATGTCCTAATTGATTTGTTAATAAGAGCAAAATCTATCACTTTATGCTTAATATGGTGTGTGGGGTATGTTTTCACAAAAAAAATCTCAAATTTTTCAAAAAATTTTTTATTTTATTTTAGTACATTTAAATATTTCATGTTTTTGCTGCTCCATAGACCTTAAAATGCAGTAGGATTGGAACATTCAGGGCTTCACCCTGATACGAGCAGTCTTGTTAAGTATAAAAAGCTTCTTTTTTTACAAATATTATGGATAGAACTGCATGACAATCGTTTACCTTGCATAGAATTAATTGATACGTTTTTTTCTTTGCGCGCAAGTCAACCCGGGTTATCATTGAAAACTTCGCAATTGGTCTGGAAAAACAATCGACGGAGCACAAATAATTCCTTCATTTTTTTGAAAATCGGAACAATAAATATTCCAAAATCCAATTAAAAGCTTGGTTTTGGTGGCTTAGTTTTTAAGAAGATTTTGATTGCAGCGCAGTTTGTTACGATGGAGAAAGCTAAGCCGCTACGCCTCAGTAGAATTTAGCTCATCATATTGCATAAAAAAACATAATTTGGTTGTAAAATTTGAAAATATTGAGCTAGTTATAACGATTTAACTTTTACTTTTCGCTGAATCAGCAGTTTCCGAGATCGACTTTGACCTCGCCGGGTAAGTTATGATAATGGAATTGATTTTCGCTAAACTGGCCGTTTTCCCAGTCATAAAGTAGTTAGTACATGTAATTGGTGTTAACTTCCTGTTAATAACTCACAAGATGCCGTTGGCGTACAAGCCCGGGCCCACGTCGACTTCGCTCGGCGGATAGGACCAGGAGCCCACACTTATATTGCACACATGGGTATCGTAGGGGAAATACCTGCCAAAGATCAAAGGCGCTGATTGCAGAGGAAAGTCCATATCCGCTTCAAGGCCCATTTACTCAATACTTCGCTTTCGACGCTCATTTTTAGCAAGGTGATAGATTGAGGGAAATTCTAGACCGTTCTGAGATTCAGTAGCGGATTAAGGGGGGGATGAAACACGTACACGGTCCAAAACATCACCCTTTTGTTTTTTATAACACTCACTTTGAATCGAACCGCGCCTTCTGAGGTATCAAATGCCTTTCAAAATTTTTGAATTTTATGGTTCCGAAATTTGTATGTCAATGGGTGAATGTTTGAGCGGGTATGGGTTTACGATTTTCTGTAGATCGTCCTTTCAGCTTTTTTTTTCTGGCTTTCCCAGATCAAATCGTTCCAGTTTTCCGCCAAGCTGTTTTACAAATAATTCAGCTCAGGGCAAAATTTCCAGTTTTCAGCCACACTGTTTTTACAAAGAATTTAGGTCAAGTTGAAATCTCCAGTTTATCGGCAAATTGTTTTTACAAAGAGCTTAGGTCAAGACAAACTTTGTAGTTCTTTGCCAAACAGTTTTTACAAATCTTTCAGCTCAGGGCAAATTTTCCCTTTTTCCACCAAACTGTTGTAACAAATCTTTCAGCTCAGGGCGAATTTTCCAGTTTTCCACCAAACTGTTGATACAAATCTTTCAGCTCAGGGCAAATTTTCCTTTTTTCCACCAAACTGTTGTTACAAATTTTTCCGCTCAGGGCGAATTTTCCAGTTTTCTACCAAACTGTTTTTACAAAAAATTTAGGTCAAGGCGGAACTTTCTTTCCAGTGTTGATCTCTCTTTTGAGTGAAGCTAAACTCACTTGACATTGACTGAACACGCGGACTTGAGGTAGAGGGGCTGTTGCATTGTGACCCTACCATCACTGCTTACTTTTGGGTTGGTCAGCACCTGCTCCAGACTCTTCACGTCCCCCCAGTTGATCCTCAAACACAATATTTATCAAACTCCCGTTTTTCAAATAGGGGAAAAAAGAAAGCTAGGGAAAGTTTCGGCTCATTTACTACTCACTAAATTTAATAAATGCTACACTCATAATCAGGGCCGGATTTTGGGCACGACTCCCGCCACTCAGAGGTTGAACCCCCTCTCCGTCCAAAGCGTCCCAACCTTTGGTTCTATTTGCGACATCCATTATCGCCCGACCATCGCTAATATATTTCTATACTAATTTTGAAAGAAGAGCGCATTGCATTGATTTTACATTTCCAACGAAAATTCCTTTGTTTTAGGCCGCCGGCGGACTAAATCCCCTAGGATAAAATTTGCCGGATAAAATCCCGCCGGATAAGACCCCATAGGATTACATCCCCAATAAATCCCGTTTAGGCAGACCTCGGAAAATCAATTTGGCGGCCAAAAAAGGGTGGACAAATTTTTCACATTGTTTTTTGAAAATCCGTTCCACTCTTGACTTTAAATCCATCCATCATCAAAATCCTAGAGCCATCCTGCTCATAATGAGAAATTATTCATTAAACTGAAATTAGCTTAATGAATTTTTCTCAGCAACTGAATTCTAAATGAAAATTAAAGGAAAATTAAATCAAGTCACAGCTCATCTTACTTTAAAAGTTAATGCGCACCGGGTCATAGATGGATCACATACCACCATTTAGATGCTAAGGGTCAAGGCTAATGAGCGTTTTAGAAATTTTTGAACTCATGCATTGACCTTCTATTTAATGAAGAAGTTAGTGATATCAAAATTTCACAGAAAATTGAGCATTTAGTCAGCAAATTAATCAGGCGACAATGTTCGGCTCGAACGGTGTTCGGGTTACCTTTGAGAGACGTTGATGTCTGGTAGCCATATCTTCGACTTGTCTGCCCGGATAGAGCTCACATTTCCAAACTCGGCCGGATTCCATCGTAGGAACTCATCAGACCAGCTCTGTATAAACGCAACTGATTTTTAAATTTGTTTTTTATGGTACGTAGACTTAAGTTGTCGCCCCCTGCCCTTTGAAATTTAAGACTAAGAACAAACAAATAGCCCAAAACACAATTGAGCCTATGAAAAACCGTTGGAGTGCATGGTGTAAAGCTTTTAACTGGAATCACTTACTATAAACACGAAACTAACACGAATTTAATCAGTTGCTATTAACACGAAACACCCGGGTTGACTAAAAATGCTAGTCATACAATTAACAAATTTTGAAAAATGCTATTCAAACACTTTTTATGCAATTCCATTAGTACAGAATATTGTATGAAAGGTGTATGATAAGTGATTTTTCATATATAGAAGTTGTATGACCAGTTTTTTCCAATAAACCAAAAAATTTGATGAGAACTCAAAAATTCTCGAAATTTTGGAACCGATAACCGAATACTAGTGACAAAAACCTTGGCTTACACAAAAAAGTCCCCAAAGGTTTGACGGTTTTGCATTTACAATGCATTAGAAACGGATTGAATTGTCTAAAAGTTGTTTTACACAAATGATATACTAAAAATATCAAACTTTCAAATTTTGGCGAAAAGATTTGAAGACGATCTTTTTTAATTAACCCAGGCATAAATAAACATGCTATACAAGAGAAAGAGGAGTTTTGAGCATTAAAGAAAAGTTATCCAGAGAAATGGAAGATAATTTAACTTTTGTGTATCCAGAATTACGTCATGCACATAAAAATTAAAATGTTGCATGTTATTTTGAAGTTATTTTGAAAGTATTTTGAAAAAAAATTTCGAAATTACTTTGAAAAACAAGTAATTTTGAAGTTAGAGGTCAACTTCAAATTTTCTTGGAAAATTTTTTGTTGCCGCCATCAAAAAAATGCTAGTCATAAAATTTCATTTTTTATTTGGTATGATACACCGACTTTTATGTCAAAACACGAAAAAATTTCTTTAAAACTCGATGGCGATTTTAGCAAAGTGTATGAAATTTGTAAGACTAGTGTTTTTTCTTAAACTTAGTTTATGGAATTGTAAGATTAGCATTTTCGGCCTAAGGAGGTCAACCCGGGAATGCATTCAGATGATAGGAACAAAAAATTGTGGTTTCTGTTGTTCGCAAAGGATCTATCGAAAGCTATTCAGTCGGTCTAACATTAGTCAGTTTCTCTTTTTTGCCCACGTTCCAGACCAGTTTTTTTTGTTTAGCGGACCAAGGCTGCTTTCGTTCAATAAGTAGCTCATTTTTTGCAAGTCGGGGCAGTTTTTTATAGTAAAAACTCTAATGTGGCACGATTATTGCAGCCAAAAGTTTTCAGACTGTAGTAAAACTGACGCTAGAGGTCAAGTGAGAGCTCGTAGCTCATCCTCTCAACGCTATTTTTTGTCATGGCAGAAGATCAATTACTCTTGAATTGCTAAGCTAAGCTATTCCAAGCAATACAAAATATAGAAAGGTGTAAATATACCCTATAACAGAAAAAACTCTTATACAATTTGCAAGAAAACACAGACTGTTAATGAAAGCCATATGGTATCAGTTTAACTTCACGTACCAGTTCGACCGAGTAGATAGCTGTGAGTGCTTGCTGGATGATATTCTAAACAAACAAACATTCACAAATGGAGCACTGATATCATTTATGTCGAAGCTCTTGTTTTCGGAACAGCAAGCTGCTTTTATCATGGCAAAATCCAAGTTGCTCCAATTACCTTTTTTTCTTATTCTGTGCTTGGAAATAATTACATTTATTTCTAGAAAAACATACAATTTTTCAAGGATTTTTAAAGTTTTTACAAAACTGCTCCTCCTACTTTATTCAGAACTTCGAGTTATGAAGTGTACATGGTTGCACGCATCCATCCATTACTTGCAAAATTCCAATTTTTATCCAACGCATCAGATGAGGTCCGATTGGCTTAACTCACCTTTAAAGAGTTTTTGAATAAACATTTCTACTCAACGGAATACAATGTAAAAAGCGACCTATTTACCTCTTTAAAAAATCATGAAATAAATTGCAATAGACGAGTTCATACCTGAGCTATTTCAATTTAAAACTTTTGGAGCTACATCAGAATCCTATTCATGGCTGTCCCAGGGGTCCCCGTGTTCCTTTATATCTTAGCTATTATTAGTTGGCCGAGCTCTTGGTTCTTCTCTGTTTTTATTCCAATGTGCATTTAAATATGATATGACAGATGAAAACCGAGTTATCTGGATGAAGCGCTTGCCTAACTGGTACTAATTTTTATAATTTCCTTTGTAAGTTTTAGTAGGAAACTCATGTCAAATCTAGTTTGTGTTATAGCATTGTTTTTATGATAAAACTACATTTTGTTTTCCCTACAGAATGATTTCATATTCGTAACAAAATTGCTCCTATCAAGGTGAAGACGAGAATATTCCGACTGCCTTCGAAAGTCTTTAGAGCAGCATTTGCTTTTAATAATGATGAAATTTTCAAACAAAATGATAAGAAACTTAGAAAAAACTTTTTTCATAATAATCCCTCCACGCGCCTTATTAAGTACATTTTGTTTTCCCTACAGAAAGATTTCATATTCGTAACAAAATTGCTCCTATCAAGGTGAAGACGAGAATATTCCGACTGCCTTCGAAAGTCTTTAGAGCAGCATTTGCTTTTAATAATGATGAAATTTTCAAACAAAATGATAAAAAACTTAGAAAAAACTTTTTTCATAATAATCCCTCCACGCGCATTATTAAGTACATTTTATTTTCCCTACAGAAAGATTTCATATTCGTAACAAAATTGCTCCTATCAAGGTGAAGACTTGAATATTCCGACTGCCTTCGAAAGTCTTTAGAGCAGCATTTGCTTTTAATAATGATGAAATTTTCAAACAAAATGATAAAAAACTTAGAAAAAACTTTTTTCATAATAATCCCTCCACGCGCATTATTAAGTACAAAGTGATAGTTTTGCTCATAGAAACGTTGCCATTATGAAAACATTTTGCTTCAATCAACTTGTAACAATTTTTAAGAGGAATTAAATCTCAACATACGCGTTAATAGCGTGAAACATATCGCGCGTTAATTGTCTCAAATTGGCCATATTGACAATGTTTAAACCATCAAAACTTTACAAAAAATGATTACAGGTGAAATAATTTATTTTGAAAAAAGTTTGAGCTGAAAAAAGCAAGATCTTTCGGCTGATATAATAAATTTTGTAAAAAAAAAACCCAATTTAAATGTTGAAATTTGGCTGGAGAAAAAAATATCCCGAGCACAAATATTCCGTCGTTTTCTTCAAAATTGGACCAACAAGACTAATCACAGGTTCCGGCTGACTGCCGTTGAACGCGCAGCCTATGTGATTGTTTTTAGTACAAGCATCATTTTTTTGAAATCTTTTTATTCAAAAACAACGAACAGTACAAAAAACAAACTTCAACATATCAACGTATGTTTCAAATTTATTACTCTTAGCCACCTATCATTTGAAAAATTATAACAGAATCAATACTTTTTTGCATAAGTAAAAAAATGCAATTTTCCGATAAGAAAACGAACCCTGCACAATATTCTATCCCGTTCTTTGGAAATTGGAGCTCAGATTGAAGTTTTTTTTGAAATAGATTTTCTGATATTTTTGTAATATTTTGCTTAATTGGTTGAGCTAGACTTCTGTTTTTATGACATTTTTTTAGATATTTTGTTTTATTTTACTTAAGATATCATAATTCTTGTAATAAAATTGCAAGAGTTTGCAACATAGCAATTCCGCATCAAAGACTTACAGGTTCAATTTTTCTGGCAATGGGCAAGATCTTTTAGGATAATTTATTTTTGCTGTGTCGAAGGAAGCCAATTTTTTGAACTATTAAAAATATTACCAAAATACTACCCGTACAGTGTGCATTCACTAAGAAGGATCTAAAATTAAGTTTTTTAAAATATCAGATTTCAAAAGAGTATTGAAGTGTTAAAGTTGCAATAGCGTTCAAATGAAATTTTGAGTTTTAGCTATATCATCGTTTAAAAAAAATTAATAACTAAATTAGTCTCCTGAAAAAAAGTACAATACAATTTCCCAAATTCCCAATTTTTATCAATTTGTCTTCTCGATGTTTTATTTTTTTGTCAAAATTTTGAGCTCATATGTTTTCAAACTTTAATTGAAAACTACTAGAAACAGCTTTTTTTTGATCTACATGTGTTTAACTTTGCAGCATACGAGATTTTAGTTCACTATCTCAGACATAAAAATTTCGAGCTTAATTCTCTTAGCTGTCTAAATCTCAATTCTCAAATGAAAAATAGAAGAAATTTTACATCTCTCTTGAAAAAAAAAATAAAAGAACTAATAAGTAATTTTGTGTTTAAACCTTCAATTGACGGACTTTTTTTATTGCATGACAAACTTAAGTAAGTTATGTTCTGTTTGGAAAATTAGAAATTATAAGCTTGTTTTTGCCCTTTTTTATTTTATGGTTTGTTGCATTTTGAAAAAAAAAAATGAATGCGGAGACAACAATCGAATTTCAAATTTTCCATGCAATGAAGTTAAAACCAATTGAGATCGAATTACCTAACTTTTTTTAAAATTTTCAATTGTTTACTAATACGATCGTAATATTTTGTACAAGATGTTTCCATAACGCAAATCTTTCTATAAAATTATCTCGATAATGCCTTTTTTCAAACCAAGTCGACACTTATCTGACGTGGGAGCGTTCACTCAGCCGCAATATCATCAAACCTCAAAATCCTTAAGCTGAAAAATGAACTTGAATCATAGAGCACTTGTCAACGTATAAAAAAATTATATCCAATAATTTTCGTGTGAAAAAATTACTAGGCTAAAAAAAATTGTTTAACCTGGTTTTTTCAAACTAAGACGGAATGAATCGAGTAATTTATCTCTTAAATTTTTCTTAAAATTAGTTTTCATGTAATCCTTAAAAAGTTTCAACGTTTTTATTTGGCCAATACGCGTTGTTGATTTATTTTGGCTTGTTATAAGTTTATATCTGTTTCGGTTTGTTAACCCTTTGGCTTGTTGACAAAAAACCTTGGGTTACTTGATTTTTTTTTGCAAGTTTTTGTCAATGAGTGCAGTTAAAAAATGTTCACCAAAAATTTAGCTTATCTTAAGCCACAATTTCTTAACCAATCCCAACATTTCATTATTTGAAAACTAATTTTAATTATTCCTCCTCAAACCAGTTTCCTATCTCTAATTTTTATCTCTAAAAAGTTAAAGAGTTAAGTGATTACTAACCAGATCCATGATTTGGTTGAGTGACATTCTGACATAGACCACTACAACCTGTGACTTGTTTCTCACCGGCCTTTCTGTGCTCAGGTAATCCTCAAATAGAACATCGCTCACCTGCTTCTCTGGACCTAAAAATAGAAAAAAGAAACTAAGTTATGAGAGGATCGGAGGAAATCAAATACTAAATAGTTTGAGAGGATCGTAGGATATCATACAGCAGTTTCAGCTTTAGATCACCGTCTGTTTTTTATCTAAATTCAGATGGATAGGCTCGTACAACTATTTAGTCTAATACTGATTTTAGTCCTACTCTTAACTGCTTCTTTCAAAAGAGCTAAAGAAAAGTGGGACCTCAAATTTATTCGTAGATCATCCAATATTGGTCTGACCAGTGAGCTGGTCAGGGTTCGCAAGAAAAAATTAGCGGTTATTTATGAAATATGGTTGGTTGATAACAAAAAACATTACAATTGTACAATCATATCGAAAAGTTATATCTAGAGAAATGCAAGCAATTGTTTGTAAATTTTTGTTTAGACATAATGTTCAGCTTTAATTGTTCAACCACTGAAAAGTGCAAATACTTTTATCACGTTTTTGTGGTAGTCTCAAAATTTAACAAGACTGTATGTATGAGGGCAGAGCTAAAAAACTCCGGCTGCCTTTTAAACTTCATGGAATAGTTTTGATTAAAAAATTACAAGAAACTAGGAAAAAGAACAAAAATTACACAAAAAAGAAAAAAGATGCAAAATCCCCGTGCTATCATGAAAATTTGAAGGTTGAAATCGCGTCTAATTATATGATAGTTAGTCGAAACATTTTAACTTGCCTCAAGTCGCTTTGGAACGTTTTGAGCAGGTTTAAGATTTCACCGACGCATTGGTGGCAATTTTGGACACCCATATCCCAAAAAAATCAAAAGTGAAATTTCAACACTTTTTAGATGATAGAAAACCTTTCAAATGTGACTTCTTGAAAACTCAAATCTGGTGGTCTGATGAAACAAATCACACTGCGCGCAATTAATCCAGCAAAAACGAAAATCTGGCGCATTTGGCAATAAAAAAATTAACACATATAACAAAAAAAAACATATAAATCAGAACATCAAAAAACGTTACAAAAAATTTTATTCACTGTTACCTACCTTGTTCATTTGTCAATGTTTAGACAAGCAACGTGGTTAGCCTGTTGAGCAATTTTTCAAAAACAAATTGCCCGGAGGCCTAACCCGGAAGATAATTATTACATTGACAATAGCGCATTTAACCAGCCCTATTAAGCTATGGCACTTTTGCAAGAGCTCGACTTGTAAATTGCAGCGCGCGTGCGATATAAACCAGTGATCAAATGTGTGCAACAAGGGTGCACAAAATTTTTCGAACTATTGGCAATTTGGCCCTTTTTCCTTTTTCCCCCACATTATAGGAGCTTCATTTTTGTAGTGGAATGAGTGGTTTTATGAGGTTGAGTATGGAGACCATATATGTTTGTCGTGGCCTTATAAATCTGTATACCAATTTTCATATTAATCGGACAATGAGATCAATAAATTTACTTGTAAAAGTTTGCAGATGGGGGTAAAAGCAAAAGGAGCCGGCAATTTTTTTCAATTAAAACGGTAAGTTTCTTGGCTCTTATGCAGTTTCCCCCCTTTTCAAATTCAATTTTGAGAAAATGATTTATTGTCATAATGCATCGAAATTTGGCGTGGTGCACAAATCGACAACTGTGAGCAGATTTGATCTTCATATTTTATAGCGCAACATCACGCATTTAGCCGTAATAACACGTAAAACAAACATAAAACTCGGTATTTTCAAAAAAGGGAACTGGAAAAGAGCCAGCTACTTAATTTTATAGCCTGATTTTTAGTCTCCAACAAACAATTGTGAAAGACACATGGCTATCAAGAACTTATGTTCATTCTTAAGGGTACCAAAGCATGATAAGTTTGCGAGGAAAGTGCTTTTGAAATTCCAACTTTTGGCCTAAAAATGTCTATAAAACCTGTTCTTTTTCAGTTATATTGTATTAAATATATTTTTTTTAAAATCTGTTTCTGGTTCGAAGCTTTTCGTAAGAAGGTGTCTTTTTAAAATTTTGCGATGGCTCGAAAAGTGACTTTTATCGACTTTTATGAAAAAGAAACAGTCGTCAAAAAAATTGTGAAAATTTGAAGGAAAATCCATTGAATGACTTCTTATGTCATGTGACCATAAACTTAAGTGAGAAAACTTGAAAGAAAAAACAAATGAGTTATTACTGCAGAAAACGACGGGCTTTAACCTCCAAAAATATAGAATTAGCATAATATTGGCAATTAGTTATGTGATAATTTTTCGTTGAAAAACAGACTTATGTATTAAAACATGAATCAAAAAACTTCATTAAAGGAAGAAGTGCAAACAGAGGGGAAAATGCGATGAAAGAACAAATTATGAACACAAATCTTTTGATCAACAGACAAGCACTATCTCAGAAGTCAAACACAGACCATGATGAGAAACATCAATGATAAAATGTCAGCAGTCTTCAGTCACTGAGTCATCCGTAGGGATAATAAATAAGGAAATAAATCAATGAACTAAAAGTACATAAACAACCAATTGATACATAATGTCAAGATATCATGAATGTTACCATAGTGCTATTAGAGACTTAAATGGATTTAATTACATATAGAAGTTCTACTAAAACTATGCGTGCTGCACTACCTATAAATTAATGCCCGGGTCGAGATTCCGATCAAAAACCGCTCAAGTTTTGAACGGTTTGAGTGGTTTTCCAGCAAGATTTGAGCGGTTTGAGCGATTTTTTGGAAAACCGCTCAAATCGCTCAAATTTTTCTTTAAAAAACCGCTCAGAAGCCGCTCATTTCTTGCGGCAGTTTTGAACGGTTTTTCACGCACAATTTTTGAGGAGTTTTTGAGGAATTTAATTAAAAAAACGATCAAAACCACCAAAAAGCCCGGAAAAGGCAATGTGGTGCTAAGAAGCAGTTGAACCCGGGTCGAGGTCGGGGACTTATGTTGCTACCATTGCGACCCAAATCGGGTATGTTCCGATCATTGCGACTCAAAATGGGTATAATGCGACTTTGCGCGACCGAAAAAATTTTGTGCAACCTTGCGCGACCCAAACAACATGTGTTACGACTTTGTGCTACCCAAAAAAAGTATGGTGCGACCGACCATTGCGACTCAAAATCGGTATGTTGCGACTTTGCGGGAGCGAAATAATTGCGCGATTTTGCCCGAACCACAAAAAAAATTTTGCGACTTTGCACGTTCAAAGTGATTTGACTTTTTGTGGTAGCGAATTTGTTGTTGACCTAAAAATTTTGCTTATATTTTAAGTGGGAACCATGTGTAGGCCTCCTCGTGACGGTCCTGTTTCAGATCAGCAAATAAGTTGATCTAGCTAGATGCACATTAAAATACATATATATTGGATTATTTTTCAACTTGCATCTGTCTAACGTTTATGCAAGGAAAAAATTACTTCAGCTGCTCGAAACTTTATAATGCGCGACTCATGTTGCAACTTGCGCAAGCCATGTTGCGACTTATGTTTCGCGCGACTCATTTTGCAACTTGCGCAAGCCATTTTGCGACTTATGTTTCGCGCGACTCATGTTGCAACTTGCGCAAGCCATGTTGCGACTTATGTTTCGCGCGACTCATGTTGCAACTTGCGCAAGCCATGTTGCGACTTATGTTTCGCGCGACTCATGTTGCAACTTGCGCAAGCCATGTTGCGACTTTTGTTTCGCGCGACTCATGTTGCAACTTTCCCGGGTCTAGGTGCTCGAGTTCTTTCTTTTGCTTTCGTCTACGCTTTCTTTTGGGCATTCATTACAATTGAATATTGTTCTTTGTGTTTTTGTGGAGCTGAAGGATTTATTAGTCAGTCGTTAGAAAAAAGGAATAATTGAAGTCAAAAGTGGTGTGCCGCAAAGAAAAGTACTTGGTTTGTTGTTGTTCAACTTGTACGACCAAGGCAAGCAGAAGTTCCACAATCAAATCAGTTGGATAAAGCGAATTAACGTGATTTTCGACAATGGCAAATAAGCCGTGGTTTAATTTCAGATGTAGTTTTTGATAATCTGAATAGATGTTTTTGGAATCTATTTCTTGTGACGTTTCGGACAAGTTAAAATACACCCACCAAGGCAACTTAGAGGGGCGGAAGTTGCTTGGTTTCAAATTGGAATTTTCAGTAACTTGGGCATTTGAATCCCAGGGCTGAGCAATCTCATTGTAAAAATAAATTTTAGCGTGGTCTATTTAACTTGATTTGTTTAGTGTGAAGCATGTTAACTTTTCGATATCATTCCCAAGCTACACCAGCCCTTTTAATCGGTGGGCTTTTGTAAGCCATACTCTTTGCATTAAGAGTTTTTCTGATGACCTCTGGTTCTATTACTCTTACTAAAAGATCTACACCAGAATCAAGGTTGATTTAAAGGCCTAACAGATTCCCTCCTGTGATGTTCTACACATCTAAATAGTTGGGAGCACTAGGAATATTGAGTTTGGGTCACGTGCTGATTCCACGTGCAGGTTGATTTGAGGTGGTCCGAACAGGACTTGAGGTGGTCATCTGATTGCTTAGTTTATTTGTTGAAAGTTTTTCTGTTGTTTTAATCAATTTATTGATTGTTATTTAGCATTCTGTTGTTGTGGTTGCGATTTTGCCGTCGCCCAAAGAATGCTCAAGGTTAATGGGACCAGCTGCAGGCATTCTCGCGCCGCGCCTGTATTTGATCACCCATTAAAATCACATATATACTGGATTATTTTGCTGCTTGCATCTCTTCTAAAGTTTTGCGCAATATGCTGGATTGTTTGCCTAATTTGAAGCAAGGTTTGAGCGGTTTGAGCGGTTTTTTAGACGATTGCGCTCAAAAATTTAGTTCAAAATAAGCGGTTTGAGCGGTTTTTGAGCGGTTTATCTTAAAGCACCGCTCAAAAACCGTTCAAACCGCTCATTATGAAGCAAGATTTTGAGCGCAATCGTCTTAAAAAACCGCTCAAACCGCTCAAATCTTGCTTCAAATTAGGTAAAAAATCTCGACTCGGGTGACCATATGGGATATTAATTATGGATTTCTGGATCTCAT